TTTGTAAGTAGTATGTAGTGGAGTGTCATCTGGAAGTTACTGCTGAAGTGAAGAGTGCCTGCTGATCTGGATGTATGACACAATCAATGTGTTTGGAAGACTAGAGAACACATGTGGATCAAGACAGACAAGAATGTATGGCAAATGTAAGTCTGGGTTCGAGTCCTGGAGTGTACATCCAATCTACGATATGCCAGGTACATTCAGCTACGGATAAGTCGCAAATAGGATGAAACATGCGTCCTGAGTTGCACTGTTAGCTAGATTCTATCTATTCTGTGTAAGTCAATGAATTATTTCTACTGATTGGTTGTAGTGAAGGAGAACACAGGTGAGGGCAACCGAATTGTATTAATCTGAAATTACAGAGTTAATTGGTAAAATAGGAAAACCATATCGTAAATCGTTCATTTGCAAAATATCAATCCATCATATCGAACTGGACTGTTCCTGTAGCAAACATCAATCCATTGTCTGACATTTCACTATTCATGCGTTTCATACAAATCCCATTGTGTTTCCGCTCTTCCTTTCTTGATCTTCCCCCATCTTCTGCTGCCAGACATTACGTTTTTACTCGCGTCATATACTACTTATACGTAGCGTGCACCATAGGTTAAACAATACAACTCAGATTATATAGAGTTAAAAATTAAAACACGGATTATAAGATTTGATTAGTTGAGTTATGTACTTTGAGATATTGATTTAAATATAATAGAAATTTTCATCTCTCATATATGCCATCATCATTTTATGGGATAAAATCGAAATTAACAAGAATACTATTGAACATTACTAAACTCCACCAATGGTCCATCTGGCATTACTGACGGTCCCAAGCACAGATAAAGAAGAATGACTGGGTATGAGGGTTAGTGACCACATCTCGTAGAAATCCAATCCGCTAAAGAAAACGCTAGTCAGAACAAATAATTCAAACTAAATTTATATACCGTAGATTTTGCTATAAGTTTGTTAGGATATTCATCAGATATCCTAATATAATTATTTTTGTAAGCCTAGTTCTATTGGTCGATTCCTACTGGTCAATATTATGGTCGTCCTAGCTATCAATGTCACAGACTTCAATGTTTTCTCTTTATGACCCAGACACGGATCCCTAGTCCAAGATCCTTATCTTCTTCTGGACTCGGACCTCGTACTTTCTGGATGCTTTTAGAATACCCTTTCTACTTCATATCTAGTCTTCTCCTTTTACTCAATTGAGGTTTGGGACAATCGGACTAGAGAAGCATGTCATGTCGCCGGATCCTCGCTCTCGTTTACTGACTAAGGTAAACTCGTAATATTTCAGGCATATCAAATGACATGTTTACGTGTATTCGTAACAGAGTTGTGGATATTTACAACTTCACACTGTAGTATACGAAGAAGTCAACATCAGGTGAAATTTATATACATTTGAAGAAAATATAGTTTATTTACAATATATGTACGTATAACCAACAGGGGCGGAAACCTGGAGAACTAAGAAAACCATAATCCGGAAGATATCAGTGTTTAACAACTGCTGTCCAGTTCTACTCAACTGCTGTGCATTCTCCCGGTGTCAGCTTCCAATTGTCGGCGTAATGTGTTGTTTGGTCTTCCTCTTTACCTCCTCTCCGACCTTGAAGATTCCAAGTGAGGACTAGTCTTGTGATGCGGTTTGGTGCTTTCCTCAACATATGTCGTATTCAGTTCCAGAGCTTTTTCCTCATTCTTTCCTCACCTGGAAGCTGGCTTGTTCTCTCCCACAGTACTTGGTTTTGGTCTACAGATAAGAAGTATCTTGCCTAGATAACTGTGAATAAACACAGGTATCGTGTAGATGATGGTTTTCATCGTTCTCTCGAAGTTCTCTCCAATGGAACTGTTTTGATGTTCGTATTGAAAATTTGTGACTTGGGTGTTGGTTGACAGTTGTTGTGAGTTGCAACTATTTTTCAAATGTAGAAGAGCTGACGGCGTTTTGCCAATTCGTATCTTTACATTTCAATTATGCTGGCCCGGATTTGAAAAACATTTCTACATCCCCAACAACGTCTTCATCAAGTTTGATTTGGTTGCTGTAATTCGTGTTGTATCGGAGAGTCTTACTTTTTCCCTTGTGTTGCGTATGTTGAGATCTACTGCTCCGGAGGCTAGCGCGCTACACTAATCACCATATGGCACTTAACCAGAGCCCTAAAATATATTGTTAGGATATTCAACCAATATCCTAAGAGAATTATTGGTCAATTCCTATTGGTTAATTCTTACTGGTCAATTTTATGGTCGTCCTAGATAACAATATCACGTGAACCAATATGGATTCTTATTGGTTGTCCTGAATATCAATGTCACTTCAAATGTTACTTCCTATTGGTCGTCCTAACTGTCAATATCACAGACTTCGATGTTGTTTCCTATTCGACCAAAATGTATAAATACGCATTATCTGTAACGTTTTATGACCAGGGTCCAGGTACCTAGTCCAGGATCCTGATTCTCTTCTGGATTCGGACCTCGTACTTTCTGGATACTTGTAGAATACAGGTTCTACTTCATATCACGTCTTGTCTTATTTTCACTCAATATGGGGGTTGGGATAATTGGATTTGAGTAGCATGTCGTGTCGCCGGATCCTCGCTCTCGTTTTCCGACTAAGGTAAACTCGTAATAGTTCAAGCATATCAAGTTGACGTGTTTACGTGTAGGCATAACATATATATATATATATACATTCAAATTTTTCGTGAAATGTCGTTTTATCTCCCTCTAAACGACAGTCAATCGTGCTAGATAAATCATGACAAACAATGAACACAAACACACACACACGCGGCTAGATAAACACCAGCACATACAACAACAACAACAATACCTACCTAATTTAGGTATTGATAAATTTTTCTTAATTTGTTCATGAAAATCTTCACGTTCATAAAATAATAAATATGCACTCCACCAACGTTTACCAGAACGTAAATGACTAAATTTTGTTGGTATATCATGTGATGGAGGAGCTTTCCATTCACCACCAAACCATTGATCGGCAGCCTCTTCGTCTTTATCTAATCGAACCGGAATGACCTTGATCAAGAGAAGAGAGAAAAAACTCTCGTTATGAATAAAATATTAAACAAACAAAAAACAAAACTAAACGTGTTCATTCACTGATTACACATTGAAATTGATGAATCAATTCACGGTTGTGCGTAACCTCATATACACACACTGTTTTCGGTAGTTACTCTCCATACCCGAACAGGGTTGAACTTCATCACAGGTCACGACTTCTCACTAGAACTTGGAGAAGATTCCTTACGGAGCTAGTCACTGGTGAGCATAGAGGTTAGGCGTTCACGTGCAAGACCGAAGGTCCTGGGCTCGAATCCTGTGAGGTGCAGGCGCGGTGGATGCGCACTGTCACTGATGAGTCCCATACCAGGACGAAACGGCCATCTTTCAGTGCTTCCAGGTTTCATTCTAATGGTATGGTCTAACAATGATTAATCGATGATTTCAATGTGCAACAAACACTTTATCTCCATAACTCTAATTGAAGATCACCGTATTCGAAACACGGAAAGCCTGAAAGATGGCCGTTTTGTCCTGATATAGGACTACTTATCAGTGACAGTGCGCATCCACGACTCCGGCTACTCGGAAAAAATCGAATCCACCAGCTTCACTTAACTGTATGAGGGAAGTTAACACTAAATAGGTTGCAAAAAGTTATAGGATTGACCTAATGATACTGTTTAAATTCCTGTATCGAATTTGTCAATCATTTATATATATCTTGAGATTGAATACTGCAACAAAATTGATGCTTTTCGATAAGATTCTCAGGTTGAAACTATCTCGGAAATTCTTCTCTAATTTGTTTTCAAAAAACTTAGCATAAATGATATTTATGTTATTCAGATGGTGGAGATTTGTAGCTCATGTGGATGAGCTCTGAGCTCAGAGAACCAAACACCACCACCACGATATTTATGTTAAACCACTTCTCCTCTCTCTTATTTTCATATCTTTAATCATCAGATATATTCTGATTTTTATTGACTCGTTGTTGTGATGAGTAGTGCTCAAGATCTGAATGTGAGAAACGTGTAAAAGTGGTATGGTGACTTGAACTAATGTACGTACGTATGTACATAGAAAGTTCTACGTTGGAGCTGGCTGACTGATTGACTGACGCGCTACACCTCCAACCAACTACTTCAATAAGAATCCTAGGGTGAGAAACGAAGTCTGTCTGGCTGTTGAAACCTATATGTATATATACTAAATTATTTTTGTTATGCTCGTCACTTGATATGCTCGAAAACTATTACGAATTCACCCTAGTCGATAAACGAGACACTGACCCAGTGACACGGTAGGCTACTCTGATCCGTTGCCCCAACTAACTGAAGAAAAAGTCTTGATATGGCGTAGAGAATGTATTCTACAAGCACCCAGAAAATACGAGGGTGACAAGCACACAAATCGAGTTTATTCATCCATCAACCAATGACAGTCAAGGATTTTCCGAGTGGGAAACAAAGTCTCAAGGTCAACCAAGCAGCTTATGCGCGAAAACCTAAAAAATCCAAACTTAGTACTTATCCAAGTGAGTGAATCCTGGGGATCTAACGTCCGCAACAATTTTATAAACATGCCTTTCCTTTAATAAACCAATCAATTTCTTAATCAATGAACACGTTTCTGATTATCGACAAGTGACCTTCATTCAGCCACTTGTTGCTCTGATTGTCCACACTCAAAAACTATTCATCTTATTGGCAGAAAATTTTGTAATGAAGAATTTAAGTGGTTTTTTTTAAGTCGTTACTTTTACAACATAATGTGATCATAAAATTCGTCTTTTTAATCATTCTAAATTGATAATAAATCACCGTGAAAGAAAAAAAAAAATTAAAAACACCCAATTTGATTATTCAGAAAAAAAATTATGTAAATAATTCCACAACATTCCCGCTAGTTAGTTAGCCCTCCCACTGATTTTCTCCAACTGTGTATATGCAGTTGGAATAGTTAGAGTTGAATCAAACTATCACTAGAGATGAATCAGTTTAAAATGTTTCGAGCAACAAAAATTAACAACCATGTTAATTTGCACATTTGAAATCATCAATCAATCAATCAATCAATCATTGTTAGACCACCATTAGAAATCTGGAAGCATTGAAAGACAGCTGTTTCGTTCTGCCTAGTATGGAACTCATCAATGACAGTGCGCATCCACGACTCCTGCTGCTCGGAGGATTCTGTTACGCCTGCACGTAAACACGTCAACTTGATATGCTTGAACTAGTACGAGTTTACCTAGTCGGAAAACGAGAGCGAGGATCGAGGATCCGGCGACACGACATGCTACTCAAATCCGATTATCCAGACCCCAATATTTAGTAAAAAATAAGACGTGATATGAAGTAGAACCTGTGTTCTACAAGCATCCAGAAAGTACGAGGTCCGAATCCAGAAGAGAATCAGCATCCCGGACTAGGGATTCGGGACCTGGTCGTGGTCGTGGTCATAAAACGTTACAATTGATGAGTATTTATACATTTTGGTCGAATGAGAAACAGCATCGAAGTCTGTGACATTGACAGTTAAGACGACCAATAGGAAGCAACATTTGAAGTGACACTGATAGTCAGGACGACCACAAAATTGACCAGTAGGAATTAACCAATAGGAATTGACCAATAATTCTCTTAGGATATTGAATGAATATATCCAAACAGATTCGAACCCGGGAGCCTCGGTATTGTGCGCGAACGCCTAACCAACCTCCGGACCACTGGATTGGTATTGAGGAAAGCATCCATCTACGTCACAAGACTAGCCCTTACCTTGAATTCCCAAGGCCAAAGAATACATTTCACCGAGAATGAGAGACCGATATGAAAAGAATGAACAACTCTATTGGACAGAACTAGAAAGCAAGACCCAGAATGCTGGTCAGCAGCCTATGCTCCATTGGGGCTAACATGTATAAGTAAGTAATGAAATGAAAATCTCTACACTTACATTATGATCATCATATTTATACCATTTGTATGTTTTGGTTTTCGGCTGATAATGTCGAATAAATGAATAATAATGTCCAGATGATGCTTGACCACTATGTACAACAACACCGCGTAAATTATACTTTGTACATGGATTAATATCAGTGTTATTATCATTATTCTGCTTGCCATGATCATGTTGATTTTCATCATTGATAATGCTGATTACTTGTTTAAGCTGTCCATTGGTATTATTATCAGTAGTGGTGACAGAGTGATCAGCATTATCAGCATGATTAGTGTTGTTGGCGTCTTCATCATTGACTCCATCGTATGATGAATCCATAGTGTCTTTTAAACCTTGCACAGTATATGGTAACATATCCAAATGACGTGGAAATTCACAATAATTATTGAATTTAAGTGATATACCTCTAGAATAGAAGAAAAAAAATGGGAGAAGAGAAGAGGAAATAAAATTGGGGAAAAATATTTCTTCCCTACAGAATAAATTCTTAGTAGTTATTGGTTGGCAACTATGGTAATTTGCTTATCTAGTAGTCAACGATCAATGTTAGAGGATCATAAGAAATTTGGAAGCACTGAATGGCTGTTTCGTCTCAGATTCATCAACAGTGCGTCTCCATGAGACCGGCAAGCGCGAATCGAACCCAAGATCTTCAGTCTTGAGATATTGGGGAATGACTGAAGTTAGATATTAATACTATTGGATTTTGAATCAGTGGTCAACAGGGTGAAGTGTTTGTGTAACGCATTCAAAACCTAACTCTACCGACTCTTGGTTTCGTTTATAAGTTTATCTTGATTTCGCGCTGGCTTTATTTCTGTGTGCTGTCTATATTTATTCCCCTATTGTATGTAAGTACATTCTCATGTTCTTTCTTCTTACAGATAATCTCTCACACGTTGCTCCTCACACACACCCCCAGCAGCACACAAAGTACCTCTGGGCTAATTAAACACAAACCAACCAAAGGCTGAAGTTACATTTGCATTCAAGATTAGAATCTTGCTTGCTGAGCCGTCGGCGTACACTACCGTACACTACACTACACTGATAGGAAAAAACGGTCATCCAGTGCTTTCAGGTTTCTAATGATGATGATTTAAAAATGACTGTAGCTGCTACCATGACATAGTGGTCAGGCTTGCCTATCGTGGTGATCCAGCAGAACTATATTAGCTGGGATATATGTTCTTGTAGGTTCTACCATGCCAGGCAGGTCGATCGGACAGCAGGAAAACTAAAAGCAGAAACTGAAGGAGGTGGGTGCGACAGCAGTAAGGTGTTTCCCTCGCACAACAGCATCTACAGCGATGCTGCCCTCTCGTAAGGAAGAAAGGGTTAGAAAAGGTGGACCAGACTCAAGCATTTGACCCTTGAGCTCTACGGTCAAGCTCGCAGGTCTCTAAGACCGACAATAATCTACCTTCCTTTACAGGTTCCTGAAGAAACACCCTTCCACGGTGCGATCAGCCGGGAAGTGACAACCACCCTCAAGCCCGTAACAGCACGAGAGACCAAATTGGTCACAAACAAATCCTTCCTACACCCTCTAACATCTCTCTTATTTCCACGACACCCTTCTTACATTTCTTTATCACTCTACAGCGGTAATGAAAACGATCTGAGTTCACAAAACGTTATTCCTGGTCTCTTGAAACCCAGTTCTAAACTATACGTTGAAGCTTTTAATGTTCGAACCTTTCAAACCCTTGTAGTGCCTCCACATATATTCCAGTTCTCTTACGTTTAATTTGGTTAAGCCCTTTCGATTAATTTATTTAACCAAGCCATAATTTGTATTGCAACAATTTATATGTTGTACCATTCGTTCTTATTATTGTCTGGTTTGTATGATGAGCTCACATGACGTGTGTGTTCCACTTGTCATTTGACCTTGTCAACTATTCGTCGCTTTTATTCATGTGTGCCTATTTCGCTTGTCGCATGTCTGTCTTATATTTGTCTGACTATATATTCTTAGTCACGCTCTATCTCTTGGAGTTGGCTCAACAGCCTTCTCCAATTCACGTCGCTTCTTTCGTTTTATTCACTGCTTCTCCGCTTCGCTTTGTGTGGTGTGTCCCAAATAAACGTATTCAACACTTTGTGTTCACCTTCTGATTTATAAACCGTCAGACGCTAGTTAGTAACAATTTTCTAGACGAGCTAATTACCGAGCTTAAGAACACGTCGAAATCGACACACTACATCCTAATCTTCTTCATTACCGCTTATACTTCTATCACCTCTCTACTACTATGGGATTTGAACTGACAATTGTATATCTCTGTGCTAATGTTGTAGTATAGCAACGTCAACTGATGTACGTACCGTATGTACGAAGTTCTACGTTGTTGTTGGCTGATTGACTGATCATCATCATCACAATCATTAATAACAATGTAAAATATATTTATAACTCCGCCAGTAGAACCTTCGGGGCTACTGCCGGTCCCAAGCCCGGGTAAAGGAGGAGGGTTGGACATGGGGTTGGCGACCCCATTCCGTCAAAAACTAACTTGCCAAAAAAACGCTAACCAGAAAAAATAATTCAAACCATTTTAACTCTGCCCTGGGAGTTGGAGGAAGAATTATGACGTCGCGTGAGGAAAGCCGAGTTCCCTCGGAAGTCACGGGGCTGATGCCTCTTCTGACAACCAGAGCAACCATTTTGTTAGGTACATGGAACGTTCGTACATTGTGGGAGACTGGAAGACTATTTCAAGTGGCGGCAGAAATGAGAAGATACAACCTCGAGGTGCTTGGAATCAGTGAAACACATTGGACACAAGTAGGACAACTGAGACTAGCTTCAGGGGAACTGCTGTTATACTCTGGTCATGAAGAGGAAAATGCTTCACATACACAAGGAGTTGCATTGATGCTGTCCAAACATGCACAAAAGGCACTAATAGGATGGGAATCTCATGGACCCAGGATCATTAAAGCATCCTTCAAAACAAAGAAAGAGGACATTACAATGAACGTCATCCAATGTTATGCACCTACCAACGACTACAATGACGACGACAAAGATCAATTCTACGAAAGGCTGCAGTCAATCGTCGATAAATGTTCACCAAAGGATTTGACGATTCTTATGGGAGACCTGAATGCCAAGGTTGGAATGGACAACACTGGATATGAAGACATCATGGGACGACATGGACTGGGAGAAAGAAACGAAAACGGTGAGAGATTTGCAAACCTATGTGCCTTCAACAAACTGGTCATCGGTGGCACAATATTCCGGCACAAACGCATTCACAAAGCCACATGGATTTCACCGGATCACACTACTCAAAACCAGATTGATCATATCTGTATCAACAAAACGTTCAGAAGGACTATGGAGGATGTGAGAACCAGGAGAGGAGCTGATGTAGCCTCAGATCACCATTTGCTAATCGCCAAAATGAAACTGAAACTAAAGAAGCACTGGACAATGGGACAGACAACATCACACAAGTTTAATACGGCCTTTCTTCGGGATACTGTAAAGCTCAACGAATTCAAGATAGCCCTCACCAATAGGTTCCAGGCCTTACAGGATCTACACAATGGAGAGGACACAACATTGGAGAACAATTGGAAAGGGATTAAGGAGGCAATCACTTCAACATGTCAGGAGGTCCTTGGTCGCAAGAAGCAGCATCATAAGGAATGGATCTCTGTTGATACTCTTGCAAAAATTGAAGAAAGGAGGAACAAGAAAGCAGCAATCAATGTCAGCCGAACAAGAGCGGAGAAAGTTACCGCACAAGCTGCATACACAGAAGCAAACAGGGAAGTGAAGAAGAGCATCAGAGCTGACAAACGAAAATATGTGGAAGATCTAGCAAAGACGGCGGAAAAGGCTGCAAGAGACGGAAACTTGAGACAATTGTATGAAACTACAAAGAAGCTCGCCGGGAACTATCGTAAACCAGAACGACCAGTGAAAAGCAAGGAAGGCAAAGTAATCAGCAACACTGAAGAACAGCGAAATAGGTGGGTAGAGCACTTTAAGGAACTCCCAAATCGACCAGCTCCTCTGAAGACACCCAACATTGAAGCAGCATCCACAAATCTCCCAATTAATAGTGACGAACCTACGATTGAGGAGATCAGTATAGCCATCAGACAAATCAACAACGGCAAAGCAGCAGGACCTGACAACATTCCAGCAGAGGCAATGAAAGCAGATGTAGAAGCAACCGCGAAAATATTTCACATCCTCTTCAAGAAGATTTGGGATGAGGAACAAGTACCATCAGACTGGAAGGAAGGATACCTGATCAAAATACCAAAGAAAGGCGACCTCAGCAAGTGTGAGAACTACAGAGGCA